CTTTATCACTTTCTGAGAAATATTGATTCAAAGTTGGGAACGTTTTTTTTCTGGGCCAACCGGTATCTTCATAGCAATATGTCATAGCATAGCATAGCATAAGCCTTAAAGGGACCCTCCCACCTTCAAAAAAGTTAATGGAGTGGCATGAAAGTGATGTCGCTTGGTTCAGAAAGAGCGGAAACGTATATCCACCAAATTTCACCGATAAATATTCACCGGTTTTCAAGATATTAGACTTTTACTATTGTTTACTTTTGGGATCTCCGCTGTTCCTAGCGACTTTATTTGGAAGCAATGGTTTGGCAGCTGAAAGTGCGGCACTTGTTGCGCGCAAAACAACATATACCACCGCGTGCTACCAAACGTTTTAGTGAAACATTTAAAAATCGTTAGATCTGCGCTGACGTCACACATTCAGAGGGGTATTCAAATGCATTAGCCCCTCTGAATCCAAATGCTGCATTTTTGAAATTCAATATTTCCGATTTAAGGCATTTCTCGATGTTATGAGTGCCGAAACCGGTAATTGTGAGCCAGGGACCCCATTTTGGCTATCTCAATTCTCAACTCAAAACTAATGTTAAGGTGGGATGGCCACTTTAACATATTCTAGGTAAAATTCTTCCAAATTTAAATTATTACGGAGCGAGCGAAGCGAGCGGAGTCTTTCCTTAGATTAACGGAAATTTCTGAGTATGCCGTGGTCACGATTTTGCGACGCTTATATCTCAGCAACCACCTGACCGATTTACATGCGGTAATTTTTGTAGGGTAGCTTCATTCCTTCTACCAAGTATTGGACTATTCCCGATGCATGTGGGTGACCCCTTATGCACGTTGGTGTCAGTTTTGTAATTGTTGCAATATCTCGGTAACTACCTGGATGATTGCGCTGAGAGTTGGCATGTAGGTAGGCACCCACTAGGCAATGCATATCCATATGCAAGAGTTGGGGTGCTGCTGCACGTGCGCACGTGCAGGGGTCGTTTCCAGATCTCGAGAATGGCTGGACCGATGGCGCTCAAATTTGGTACACGGTTAGGGACCAGTTAGTAGTCTGCCGTGCAAAAGTCAGATGGGACCCATTTTGCACGTGCGCGCGTGCAGGGTGCCGCTTCCAGATCTCGAGAACGGCTGGGCCGATTGTGCTCATATTTGGCACATCGCTGGAGACCAGTTAGTAGGGTGCCGTGCACAAGTCAGTAGGAGGTACCCCCTCGCAATTTCGCACGTGCAAGACCCACCCTCTCGCTCGCTCCGTTAGTCGCCCCAAAAGGCGTTATACTGGGGGTGAGACTAAATGCTTACTTCGAAATCTAAGCTGTGTTGCGGCATTGGCGGTTATGTGCGGCGTGTATGCCGCATGATTAGTAAGCGGCGACCACTAAATTAAAGACTGTACGCTCCAACCTGTTTTCAATGAATAACACTGCATACCAAAAATGCCAATCGCTCTCGTCATAAGATATTTAGATTTAAATAACTAAGTTATCTGCATCATTATTTTGAACCAAATTAATGCTTTCAACTTAGTAGGTACTCACTCATTCCTTCCTTCGTTGGCTCCAGACAGTCTTTCGATTGTCTGGAAATCGTATGCCAAATCCCGCACCTGTATACGACTGGTGCATATAAAGGCCGATGTAAGAATTTCAATAGGCCCTCACATGCGATTTCCTGGCTACCCAAAAAGTCTGTTTCAGTCATGCTATCAAAACATGGTATGTCAGCCCTGTCACCAGCTTGTAGTGCCCCTGACCGTCACCGACTCCCTTCCCTCCTTAACCCTATTCCTGGCGGGGGGGCCTCAGGAGCCCCCCCCCCCCCTGAGGTTTTTTGGTTATTTCTCCCAAACGCGTTGAGCTAGGAAGCTCAAATTTTTTGACTTTTCCTAAAAAGCTTCTACGCAACATGTCTGAAAATTCTGAGTTGATCTGACCTCAGGTCAGGTCACCAGAGGCGGTTTGGTGACCCTACCTCAGAAAAGTTTGCGATCACGCCAGAGCTAGAGTTTTTGACCGATCAATTTCTTCTCTTCAGGCTTTAGTTAGGGTACCAGTATGTGCAATTTGTATATCTCGGAATTTTGATATCGGTGATCTAAGGTCAGGTCAGTTTCACGACCTCCCCATTATAAGTCAATGGGGGAAAAATCAACTCCCTGTTTTTACCACTAAAACGGGTCGGAATGGCCCCATATACCATACATGACTTCATATACGATCAACCTTCACTACCTTGAGGTCTGTTTTGCTGTTGGGCAGCTGTGAGGTCATGTGACGTCATCAAAGGTCACCAAAGGTTTTTGGCCAATAACTCCGTACAGGAACAAGATACAGACGCGTGGATGGTCTCATTGTGTTCAGCTCGTCAAGACGCATCGAATGATATACATGATGACCTCGAGGTCACGTGACCTGAGGTCAACCTTTGACCTTGACCTTTCGAGGTCAACATAGATATCATTCGATGCGGATTGACGAGAGGATCACGATGATGCCCTTAGTTTGTTCCTATCTTGACTAATTCGAAAGTTATTCGAGAAAAACTCTCTCCATATCTAGCGCCGCCATTTTGACTTTTTCGACCCCTGTGACGTCATCTTTGACCTGACCTGAAAATGACCTTAGTAAAAATTGTAGATCTTGACCGTGCGTATCCGATGCCGTTTACCGTTTGTCGCTGCGATGTGTAGTTTTTTAGATCTGAAGGGGGGGCCGAATCGGCCCCCCCCCCGCCAGTTTCTTGTCCCGGCGGAGCCCGCCAGGAATAGGGTTAAAGCCTAGTTTCCCTCCATCATCTCTACTAGATTTAGGTGATGCTCCGACAAATTCACAAACAAGACCGAACTTGTTCGGAGTTCGGACTGTGAGTTAACCCTCGCCCTTTAGGGGGGGGGGGGTCGAACGGACTCCCCTCGGTTTTTCGCAAATAACTCGCGTAAAAAGTGGCCGGTCACGACGTAACTTTTAGTACCCTCGCGTTGATCAATTTTACACCTACCCTGAAAATTTCATGACCCTGACACAAATAACTTTTGACCTGTGACCTACTTTTCGAGACCATGTTTGGCCGGAACCGCGATTCAGCGTATGTCGGCTCGCATTAGCAGCGCGTTTGCAGTCTTTTCGTGGTCTCAAGCGTTCAAACATGTGATATGATGTTGCCCCCATGCATTAGGGTGGGTGTCAAGGTCACCTGAAGGTCAGGTCAGGTCATTGACCTTTGGTGACCTCGGTTCACTTTTTCGAGTTTGACATGTTTCTAGGCCAGTTTTTTCGAGCTGAATTCGAATTAAGCAACCACATGAACGTTTACAAAGTAGTTTTGGTGCCTTCGTAACATGTTACGAGGCTGTCAGAGGCGGTTGACACCTACTACAAATACCCGGCAGGACCTCTACTGGTTGACCTGACCTGACCTAACCCGACCTGGCCTAAATGAATGAAGACATCATCTGTGATCAAAACTAACATGATGTTCGTGATCAGCACCCCGAAAACCCCATAGCAGCCACACTACGACGTTCTAACAGGTCCCAATTTTCCCGCCTTTTGGGTCATTGACCTGACCTGGAAGGTCAATCGATGACCTAGGACCTTAAAATTGGGTATCATCGGCTTCCTCTCGTCACGGGCAACACGCTCGTTTTTTCCGCGAAGCTCTAGCTTGATCAGGAGCGAAACGGCAAGGGGTTATAGGGTTATACCTTATACGTTCGCGGCTGGAAAAACACCAATACGGGCGAGGGTCAAGTTGAAAGTATTAATTTGGTTCAAAACAATGATGTAGATAAGTTAGTTATTTAAATCTAAATATCCTATGACGAGAGCGATGGACATTTTTGGTATGCAGTGTTATCCATTGAAAACAGGTCAAAGCTATTGAGTTTTTAATTTAGTGGTCGCCACTTACTAATCATGCGGCATACACGCCGCACATAACCGCCAATGCCGCAACGCAGCTTAGATTTCGAAGTAAGCATTTAGTCTCACCCTTATACTGGTGACACTTTAAGTAAAGTTCGACATGTCAGTTTTGCCACCAGCAATGGTGATTGGTTCTTTGGCAGCTGGCTACAGCATCTAACCTCAGAGAGAGGGTCATAGGGAGCTAATCTGGCGCAGCTGCGACGAATTAGACGAAAATTCCACGCGAAATGCCTGTCTGAACGCGGCACGGGGAATATTCCCGGTGACGGTAAATATTCCATGCTCTCCGAACGCACCCATAGTCTCTCTTTAAAGTATCGCTTCATGGGCTGCAGCGGCTCGGCGAACTATTTCACTCGGTTTGAGGACCCCAGCAGTGAGGTCATGGCCTGTTTCATAAAAAGTACGCTGTGACACGATCCAACGCCCCAGGCAGATACCGGCGCCGCTTGGGTTCACCAGCCGGGCGCTCAGTGATGGTCTGCCTTAGTGGGCGCCAATCACTGTTATTTTTTATGTATAGTTCATGATACATGATTCAGAACAGAACATTCATGACACATGACATGAGATTCAGAAAAGACAAACAACGGGCAACGCTTCCTTAAACTCCAACTTCTTACAGGGGCGCGGGAACTACTTTCCGACTGGGGGGCACACCATAATAGAGATCAACCTAGGGTACCCCCAAATCTAGTTTTCTCACCGGTTTTAGGCCACTTATTTTTCACCCCTCGGCTTTTTCAACAAAAAAGAAAACATTTGCAAAAAAAGTGTGGTATTCCGTCTCAAAGCTGTGGGGGCACCGCCCCCACGGCCCCAGAGTTGGGGGGGGGGCAAGCTGCCCCCACTGCCCCCCCCCCGGCTCCCGCGCCTATGACTTCTTACCACGCTATGACATTCTCACGCTCGCGGCAGACACTTTTGAAAACTCCCGCTAACGATTTATTTATAGTACCTAATGACCAGTGTTAAAGCATTTTGAGTGGGGCTGGCAGTATGGAATTGACACATCGGTGATTTTTTTTTGTCTCCAAGCTCAAGCATTATCGCCATGTTTTACAGGCGGACAGGCAACGGTCGGTTGTCCTCACTGCGACTTCAGCTGTCTGGGACAAGATCTTCTGAACAGGCACGTCAAGGATAAACACGATCACATCGGCAAGGACGGCAAATTGAAGTGCCAGTGGTGTGATTACTCTACGAACCATTCCGGCAGTATGGCAAACCACCGCCGCATACACACGGCAGAGCGGCCATACCACTGTGAGACATGTGACAAAACATTTTCTTTGCAAAGTACTCTGACCCGCCACCGCCGTATACACACGGGAGAGCGGCCGTACCGCTGTGAATTGTGTAATAAGTCGTTTGTTAAAAGTAGTTATCTGGCCCGCCACCGCCGTACACACACGGGAGAGCGGCCGTACCGATGTGAGACATGTGACAAAACGTTTTCTCTTCAGAGTCATCTGACCAGGCATCGCCGTACCCACACGGGAGAGCAGCCATACCGCTGTGATGTATGTGACAAGGCGTTTGCTGTACATGATAAGCTGACCCGCCACCGCCGCACACACACGGGAGAGCGGCCGTACCGCTGTGATATATGCAGCAAGGGGTTTTCCGAGCAACATAATCTCGTTATACACCGCCGTACACACACGGGAGAGCGGCCGTACCGCTGTGAAACGTGTGACAAAACGTTTGCTGATCAAAGTGGCCTGGCCGTCCACCGCCGTACACACACGGGAGAGCGGCCGTACCGCTGTGCTCTGTGTAATAAGTCGTTTTCTCGAACTAGTGTTCTGGCCATCCACCTCCGTACACACACGGGAGAGCGTCCGTTCCGCTGTGATCTGTGTAATAAGTCGTTTTCTCAAAATAGTGGTCTGATCAGCCACCGCCGTACACACACGGGAGAGCGGTCTCACCGCTGTGATTTATGTAATGAGTCGTTTTCTGAGCCCAGAAAGCTGACTAGCCACCGTCGTACACACACGGGAGAGCGGCCGTACCGCTGTGATATATGTGGGAAGTCGTTTTCTGAGCCCAGTAAGCTGACCAGGCACCGCCATACCCACACGGAAGAGCGGCCGCACCGCTGTGATTTATGTAATAAGTCGTTTTCTGAGCCCAATAAGTTGGCCATCCACCGCCGTACACACACGGGAGAGCGGCCGTACCGCTGTGATGTGTGTGACAAAACGTTTACTGAAAAAAGTAGTCAGACCCGTCACCGCCGCACACACACGTGAGGACGGCCGAACCGCTGTTATGTGTGTGAAAGGACATTTTGTCGGCCATTTAGCCTGGTTAAGCCGCGCCCTGCTGGGCGGGGGGGGGGGGATGTCGGAACACCCCCCCCCCCCTGGGGTTTTTCGCGAATATCTTAGAGACGGCGGCGAGGAGCGACGCCGTTTTTGGCACACCTCATAAGGCATGTCTATACCGCGGTCTTATCCTACTGAAGCGCATGTTAATGACATCGGAGTCCGAGTCGATCGCCGGCGACCTAGTCACTCGTTCACCATCGTACCACACGGAACGCCGACCACCATTTAGTCATGCCGGCGAGTCGATCGGAGTCGGGCAGGCGTCGTTTTAAGCACTCGATCGGACCGCCTATAATGCTTTGCCACGTGAGCTGCGAAACTTTACTGGAGGCTGTAAGAAAGAACTCATGCAACACCTGCTTATGAAGCAGCGGGGCGGCGTCGGCTAGGTGTACTGTAAAGAGCATGCGTGTGTGGGTTAGTGCGTGTGCATGTGTGCATGTTGAACTAAATGACCGTTTTTTTTTTTAACTTTACGACTGCAGGGTGCGGAATAGCCACTGAACTATGTGGATGTGCCCCATGACGTAAATACATACATACATACATGCATGCATTTTTGTGCTCGTGCTGTGAAAATTTTGCCCTAAGCTCACCCAAGGTCAGGTTACCAGGTCACTTCAAGTGACTTCACCTCCTATTAAGTTTCAATGCTTGCCATAGCTATACCGAGTGACCGATCGCTTGGAAGCTTTCAGCGATTGATAAATGTAACAATATTTACAAAATATTTCTATCAAAATTTCGATATTGATGACCAAAGGTTAGGTCAATTTTCGACATCATAATTATAATTCAAAGGGAGAAAATTGAAAGGCGCCTCTTTTAGACCAACGCCATTCTAAACATTTTCCAACACTGAATTACGAGTAAACATGACACACTGAACCGGAAAATGGCACCCGTGACCCCTCGTTTTGTCTCCCAAGTCATCTCAGGTCACGAATGACGAATGGCATCTAAAAGTGTTTCGTAAATATATTTTGAGGCAAGCTGGAGCGATGAAAACGCTTTATGTAGATGTGGTAAGGTCGACGATACGGATCAACTTATATACAGCACGACCTTTGCCGTTCGGTAATAACCTTGACCTGATGTCGAATTTTCAAGTTGAACTTTCCAAGGCTAAATTATAGTTCATTCGACTCGTCTCGACGGGAGGAACACGGTGCTGGCAAAAGTAATGTCGTGTCTCTCTTGAGTCAAAAGCTATTGAAGGAACACATTTTCCTTAAAAAGCGGCTATTTTTTAATATTACGCTCGGGGGGCTAAATCGTTGACCTGAGGTCAAATCTGAGATCATTTCCAGAAAGGCCTGTAAAACAGCTATCGTAATTTGACCTCTGGTGACCTGGTCTTTGACCTGACCTAAAATAATGACTGAAGTATTTTCGTCATGGTTTTTGACGTTCTTTCGCATGCCGCTTACGGCGTGTCGCTACTTGTCCCAAGGGTCGAGTTTGAGGGGGGTGTTTGAACCCCCCCCCCCCCAGCAGGGCGTGGAAATCCAAGACTCCCAGCGGGGCTGGGTTAAACATTACCGGTGCCATGCGCGCTGATGAGTCTGAAGGGTTACACGGTGGTGCGGTACCGTCGAAATGTCGGCCAAGCTCCGTATCATGGAACGGCCGTACGGCTGCACCACCTACATGGTACGGTTCCTTCACCTGTCACCTGTAATTATACACATACGGGCCCACGGTGTGCTATAGAAACGTGTAAATACGATACGTCGTGTAAAGATTGTAGATATCCTCTACATTTGTGAGCCGACTGTGTTTTGTAATGTACGTGGTGGAGCAAACATGGCTGGCAATACAACCGGATGGAGAAATGGTCTGTTTTTGTGAGCGGAGAACATTTGTCACGGTGGTTTGAAGTGGTCTGATCTGATTCTGTCTACATGTAGACACTAGACAGAATATAGATTTGACTGAGAGAGGAAAGCGGGAAGAGAGGGAGAAAGAGAGAGAGAGAGAGAGAGAGAGAGAGAGAGAGAGAGAGACGAGACGAGACGAGACGAGACGAGACGAGACGAGACGAGACGAGGCGAGGCGAGACGAGACGAGAGGTCTCATGTTGATTGTCAAACTTCTCCCTTTTTCAGATGTATGATCGGAATCGGATACATTTAAAGCAACTAGAGTACAGGTTTACGCGATAATTGTATGTTTTGATATGATATGTTGAACGGATGCATTAGATTGGGTATAGAAACTTGTATATTTAGTTTTGTTATTTTTTTTACATTTGGTAATGGACACGTGGTGTTTGAGACTTTTGTATGTTAGGCCGTTATTCAACTCAACCCTACCACAACTCTACTCCTACTCTAACCCTACCCTGCTCCTTCAGGCTACACTACCCTTAACCTATTCCTTTTCTACCGCTACCCCTACTTTTACTCTACCCTACCGTACCCCTTCTCTACCCCTGTCCCCTAGCCCCTACTCTACCCAAGGGCTCCGCCACCGGGGGGGGGGGGACGGGGCCGGGGGGACGTGTCCCCTAAAAATTTTTCATTTTTTTCTTTTTTTCATTTCATTTTTTTTTTTTTGACGCCTATGGGTGCTGCATGGAAAGAATCGACTTCAAACGGCCTTCGTCCCCCCCCCTCTAACCATCGGGTCGTGACGGAGCCCTTGCTTCTACCACTACCTCTACCCCTACTTCTACCTCTACCGTACCCCTGCTTCTAGGTACCTCTATACCGTACTCCTACTTCTACCCCTACTTCTGTCTCTACCGTACCCGTCGCTACCACACATCGGCTCTACTCTACTCTACCCTGCCGATACCGTACTCAAACCGTATTCATACTCTACTCATACTTAACCTTCCAGGCGGTGGGGGGGGGGGGGCATTTCCCCCCTTTAGTTTTTTCGATATATCTCGAGAACCGGTGCGCCGATCGTCAACAAACTTTCAGTACCCACCGGGGAGTAGCTAGCGCACATGGCAACCAAAATCTTCTAAAGGCTATGGTAGGCTGGCTGTTAATGACGTCAGAGTGACGTCATTTCTGCCATTTTCGACCCAAAAAAGGTTTCGCGGGAAGAGCTGTCAGGCCTACAGCTTTAGAGATACAGAAAAATGTTTCAGACATAAAAGGTGTGGAATCAAAAGGGTTACAAAACCGCTATTTCGGCTTTTCGATTTTTTTATTTTGACCCCCAAAAATAAAAAATAGACTTTTTGAATATAATAGCCGAAAAATCCAAAAAGTTTTTTTGAATTTCGAAAAAAACGGAATATATGTGATAGTCCCTACCGCCTTCTATCGGCATACCAAATTTGACATCGATACCTCTTTTTTTGGCCAAATTATAGCGAAAAAAATGTTCAAAATTGATGACGTCAAATTTTCAAACTCAATTTTTAGCAATTCTAGACCTCGTAGCGCAAAACAAAGACCACCATTACACTCCCCTTGACGAGCTGCATCGAATCAATACCCATTTTTGCAAAAATATCAACTTTGAAATTTGACCTATTTTGACCTGACCTTGACCTGACCTCCAAAGTGACCTAAACCGTACCTGATGGTCTTATAACCATCACCATTGAGTTGGAAATGAAAAACTGGCCATAAAACATGCATCGCATAACCTTAGTAAAGTTGGGTTCATGTGGCGACCCTTGGTGACCTTTGGTGACCTGACCTGTGACCTGACCTGGTATGACCAGTGACCTCTAATAGCAACATATGTACTAGACAACTGACGCCTTATCGTCGATTTTCGACAAAATGCGTTTTACTCGGTGTTATAGCGCTTTCCCTAGAAGCCCCGTGAACGGTGAAACATTTTATTTTTTGACCTGACCTGTGACGTCATCGGTGACCCCGAGGTCAATGAAATTTGATTTCCCTTCACAAATTTGACAGGGCTATCGAACGCCGTTTGAATTTTCCGGATCCGTCCAGTAGTTTCGGAGATACGGGGGAGGGGGCAAAAAATGTCCCCCCCCCCCCCCACCGCGCGGAAGGTGGCCGGGAGGCCCACTGCCTGCCGGGTTAACCAAAAGCATTGCACTAATTTTTAGCACAATCGACCTAGCCGTTCTTGAGACATAAAACCGGTCCCGTTGCACATGTGCACGTGCAAAGTGAGACTTCAGTGCACGTGTACTGGCCACCCTTCTAAATACTTCAAACTGCGTACCAAATATGAGCAAAATCGTCCCAGCTGTTCCTGAGCTGTATCATTCTCTTGCACGTGCGCACGTGCAACAGCAACCCACACATGGTAATGTATCGTCCGGCACCGAAAGTTAAGTTTCATTGCAATCGGCCAAGGAACGGCTGAGTCATCGCTAGAATAAATTTATTTCAGTTATTGGTGAATTTCAGTTATTTACTTTTCACCCCCATAGCCCTTACCGGTTTCGAGCAATTAACGTGTTTTTGTCAATTATAATGGTAACTGTATGGCGCACGTTAGCACGCCCCCGGCCGCATCGTGCCCCACAATTTAATACGACCTACGTGTAAAGGTGGCCCATACACAATGAATATTTCATTGCAGTAGGTCAACGGACGACGCTGCATTAAACGCTACAAAGGTAATACGTCACACACAGAATTTTTTAGGATTTATATACAAAAATATATATCTGTCATGGATAAAGCACATTTTTGGGATTTATTTATAGTACCTAATGACCTAATGACATGCGGAGGGGGCCGTGTCCAGTCGTGAGGGCACGTTAAACGTTCGGACCAAATTCTGCCATACCACTGGAATTGCGCGATCGGGTGGTGGGGTCAGGGTCAGCACAACAAGCTATGCTTAGTGCGGGCTCTGATTCCTCAAATCCACCCATTCAACCATTCGGACTAAATTTATAAAAAAAAATGACCAGTAATGAAGCATTTTGAGTGGGGCTGGCAGTATGGAATTGACACATCGGTGATTTTTTTGTCTCCAAGCTCAAGCATTGTCGCCATGTTTTACAGGCGGACAGGCAACGGTCGGTTGTCCTCACTGCGACTTCAGCTGTCTGGGACAAGATCTTCTGAACAGGCACGTCAAGTATAAACACGGTCACATCGGCAGGGACGGCAAATTGAAGTGTCAGTGGTGTCGGTACTCTACGAACAATTCCAGCTGCATGGCAAAGCACCGCCGTACACACACGGGAGAGCGGCCGTACCGCTGTGATATATGTGACGAAACGTTTTCTCAGTTGGGTACCCTGACCCGCCACCGCCGTACACACACGGGAGAGCGGCCGCACCGCTGTGGTATATGTAATAAATCGTTTTCTGAGTCCAGTAATCTGGCCGTCCACCGCCGCACACACACGGGAGAGCGGCCGTACCGCTGTGGTATATGTAATAAATCGTTTTCTGAGTCCAGTAAGCTGGCCGTCCACCGCCGCACACACACGGGAGAGCGGCCGTACCGCTGTGGTATATGTAATAAATCGTTTTCTGAGTCCAGTACTCTGGCCGTCCACCGCCGCACACACACGGGAGAGCGGCCGTACCGCTGTAATGTGTGTCACAAAACGTTTACTGTACTAGGTAGTCTGAACAAGCACCGTCGTACACACACGGTAGAACGACCATATCGCTGTGACATATGTGGAAAGTTGTTTGCTAATCTAGATTTTCTTACCAGACACAGCCGTACACATACGAAAGAGCGGCCGTACCGCTGTGAAACATGTGGCAAAACGTTTGCTGAGCAAAGTAAGCTGACCCAGCACCGTCGTACACACACGGGAGAGCGGCCGTTCCGTTGTGATATATGTGACAAAGCGTTTACACAGCTAGGTAGTCTGACCCGTCACCGCCGCACACACACGTGAGGACGGCCGAATCGCTGCGATGTGTGTGAACTGTGACAGGACATTTTGTCGGCCATCTAGCCTGGTTAACCCGCGCCCTGCTGGGGGGATGTTCGAACCCCCCCCCCCTGCGGGTTTTCGCGAATATCTCATCATGCCCCCCCCCCCTAGCAGGGCTGAAAATTCAGGACCCCAGCGGGGCTCGGGTTAACCCGCGCCCGGCTGGGGGTCCTGGATTTCCACGCCCTGCTGGGGTGTGTGTGTTTGAACACCCCCCCCCCCTTCTAACTCGGCTCCTGGGCCACGTAGCGATACGCGGAAGGCGGTGTTCGAAAGAGCGCCAAAAATAATGACGAAATCACTTCGGTCACTTTTTTGGTCAGGTCAAAGTTCAGGTCACCAGAGGTCATTGAAGGCAAAATTTCGCCGATTTTCAGGTCGAATGTTGACAATTTCCAGGAAGCCAACGCATAACTAGGGAACGAATAGAGCTAAAGCACCGCGTAAAAGCGCATTCGATAGCCCTATTTCCGCCCTTTCTGAGTAATTCTCTCAGATTTGACCTAACGTCAACGGTTTTGCCTGCAGGGGGCAAAAACTGCAAAATTAGCCGATTTTTTCGGAAACATTTTTTCTGCAATTATTTTTGACCCAAGCCTTCTACGAGCTTACTTTTACCGGCATCGTGTTCCTCTCGTCAAGACGCATCGAATGAACTATAACTTGACCTTGAAAGGTCAACTTGAAAATTTGACCTCAGGTCAAGGTCATGACCTGACCGGAAAGGGTCATGTTGCATATCAGTCGATCCGTATCGTCGAGCTGAGCACATCTAAGGCGTTTTCACCGCTCTAGCATGCCTCTATCAAAAGTTATTTGCGAAAAACTGTTAGACACCATTCGTGGCCTGAGATGACCTCAGGGGCATAAATAGGGGTCACGGACACCATTTTCATGTTCATTGTGTCTAAACCACTTGTAATTCAGTGTTTGGGAGTGTTTATAATGTCTTCGTCCAAAAGAGGCGCATTTCAATTTTCTCCCATTGACTTATAATGGGGAGGTCGCAAAATTGACCTGACCTTAGGTCACCGATATCGAAATTCCGAGATATGCATTTGATAGATACTGTTACCCTAATCAATCGCTGAAAGTTTCAAAGCGATCGGTCACTCGGTGTAGCTATGGCAGACATTGAAACTTTTTATGAGGTGAGGTCACTTCAAGTGACCTGGTGACCTGACCTTGAATGACCTTGGTCTGAAATTTTAACAACATGTGTAGAATTGATGTATGATAAGGTGTACCAAAAACAGTTTTTGAGATATTGGGAGAAAAAAAACACAAGGGGTGTTCAAACACCCCCCTCCCCCCAGCAGAGCGCGGGTTAAACAATACCGGTGTCATGCGCGCTGATGAGTCTGAAGGGTTACACGGTGGTGCGGTACCGTCGAAATGTCGGCCAAGCTCCGTATCATGGAACGGCCGTACGGCTGCACCACCTACATGGTACGGTTCCTTCACCTGTCACCTGTAATTATACACATACGGGCCCACGGTGTGCTATAGAAACGTGTAAATATGATACGTCGTGTAAAGATTGTATATCATCTACATTTGTGAGCCGACTGTTTTGTAATGTACGTGGTGGAGCAAACATGGCTGGCAATACAATCGGATGGAGAAAATGGTCTGGTTTTGTTGGCGGAGAACAATGGTCATTGGTCACGGCGGTTTGAAGTTTAGTATCATTCTGTCTACGTGTAGACTTGGCGGCCTTGGCCAAGGCAATATATGTAGGGGAGAGTGGGGCACATTCGTGCATGGGGCACATTCGTTTTCAGCAGTTTATGGGAACACGAGTGACTGCACGAGCTCAAGGTAAATTATGGAAATATGTCTATCATTGCCGCCCTTCGTTCACCGTAGAAGACAACACTGTACCTGCTGTCATGCTTGATAAAAACGCAAATTTGTAACATTCGTGAGCTTTCCAAACTTTTCTCATATCATCCATTTTCGTGATCCTGACTCGGAAATGTGGTTCAGCTTTTCAAAATTGGGGGTGAAGAAGCTCACTCTATTCACGGATTTGCTGCAAACTTGTTTGTTGAAAAAGTGTCATTTTTTTCAAAAAGAAATTTTGAAATATATTACTAATAACGTTGTGGGGCAGGTTCGTGTACGCACTGCCTGGGGGCAGATTCGTGCATATTTTTTTAGTTTTTGCGATTTATGACTTTATCTGTAGAAGGTTTCTCTAATGACTTTCGCCTGACTCAGTCTCGACTGCTTGCGACGTCGTGACGAGCAATTCACGCGAACTTGGCGAGGTCACGGAGGCCGGCAGTTGGCACATTCTTGTTGGCCAGCCCATTCTTTCTACATATGTTGTGCAATGCATTCTTGTCGAAAGGAATCAAGTGAAATGACCCCCTGCCAATTTCCTTTGGTAAATTTCTGGTAATGCCCGGTAATTTCTCGAACTTTGCAGGGTGAACGGAAGTGCCCCACCTCTTGAACGAATGTGCCCCATAGGTGGGGCAGTTTCGTGCAAATGTTCAGAGTTATTCAAAGTCATTTTTTCTAATGGAAGCAATAATTTTAGAGGATAACTTTTAAAGAGGAAAACTATCTGCAATAGTTCCTTTCCATACTACAATCAACAATTTTGCCATTGCACTAACCAAAGAACAGATATATGGGTTTATCCATTTTTTGCACGAATGTGCCCCACTCTCCCCTATACCACCTTGGCCTTGAATTGGACGCCGGTGAAAACAGGGCGCCGGAGGGCATATTAGTCACGTGACATTTGGAACTTCTCCCCCTCCGTGGGCCTTCTACAGGGTGACAGGGGAGAGTTTTAAGTTTTTAACCCGGCAGTTGCTGGGGTATTTCGCCACCCACCGTTTGCTGGGGGAGGGGGGGCGTTAAACGCCCCCAGCCGATAACTCGAGAACCAATAGGCGCAGCGAAACGCACAAGGCGGCAAACGAAAGAACGCGACGAGACGCTTCAGATGAGTACTTTAAAGTTGAATTTTGAGGTCACAGGTCGGGTCAAGGTCAGGTCAAACACCTGAAATCGGGCTTTCAGTAGCATGGACTTCAGGACTTCGCAATGGGCGCCTCTCGTCATAAACTCTGTCAAAACGGTGCACAATCCATCATATAAGGCCTACAAGAGTGTCAGCTCCATGTAGGGGTCACTCAAGCATAGGTCAGGGTCAAGGTCAAGTCAACCGGGTAGGCACATATCCCCGAAAATCAAAACTGATATTCGCAGCCTGTGACACATGTTTTATGGGTAATTTGGGGCGTAGAACACGATGGTGACATTCATTTTATCATATGTGTACGTGTTTGGCTCAAAAAGTTCAATTTAAGAAATTCATGTATCATGGTCGTGAAGTAGTCCCGAGAAATTGCCAAGATTCAGTTCAAGATTTTGGAAAATGCGGAACGATGATCAATAATCGAAGATAGCCATTTGATTGTTCATGGTATTGGCAGTCTAATGGCGTTTACCGCATGTCTGTAGGTCTATTCTGTGATTTTATATGATTTTTTGAATATATGCCGTTTTTGGTCGAAAACTCAGAAATCATGACGTCACTAAAACCTCGATATCTCAAAAAAATTTCCAAACGATTTTTTTTGAAACTTTGTCACAATAAACTTCAATCAATTCTCTACAGGTACCCAAAATTTGGCGCGCCTGCGGCGCGCCGTTTTTATACTATGGCCCGGCGAAAAAAGTGGGGGCGTTTAACGCCCCCCCCCCCCAGCAACTCGCGGGTTAAAATCTAAGCTGCATTGCGGTATTTGCGTAAATATGCGGCGTGTATGCCGCATTGTTTTTAAACTACGACCACTAAATTAAAAATGTATCATCTTCATTGTCATTCCCTCGAAGAACGTTTATAAGAGCCTTAAGTCTGACATAATCAAAACTAATGGCCATAGCCTAAGCCATAGCTCACCTCCAACGATATCTAACCTTCTTTTGAATGAATAACACTTCATGCCTAAAATGATCTTGTTATAAGATTCTCACGCTGACTTCACCACAACCTACTTTTTCTTACAGCGGGACAAAGGAAGACTCAGCCGACTACAGCGGAACATTATGGGTTTCAGCTTGCTCCAGCGGGACAAAGTCGGACTCAGACGGTGGGACAAAGTGGAACTCAGTCGGTCCCAGCGGGACACAATGGGACTCGGTCACTCGTAAGGTCCCAGCGGGACATAGTGGGACTCAGCCGACTACAGCGGGACACAATGGGACTCAGCCGGTCCCAGCGGGACAAAATGGAAATCAGCCGGTCCCAGCGGGACAAAGTGGGAGGCTGGGACTCAACCGACTACAGTGGGACAAATTTGGACTCAACCGACTGCAGCGGGACATAGTGGAACTTAGAACGCTCCAGCGGGACAAAGTCGGAATCAGCCGGTCCCAGCGGGACACAATGGGACTCGGCCGGTCCCTGCAGGACATAGTGGGGCTAGTGGGACTTGTGGGACTTTTTTCTTTCCTTTTTTAAATCGTATATTCATTAAATCAGAGAGTCCCACGGGGAACACACAGCTGGCACATCAGCGAACAGTTCTCTTCTCTGTGCTCACGACGCACAATGAAGGACAGAAGCGGGCAAAAAAAAACTGTCCCGGTGACGCTTGAACGCAGTCACAGTTCTCATGGCACGCGGAGTAAACACGAAAAAAACGGTAAAAAAAAACTAAAAAGAATATTGCGCGATACAGCTCAAACCAGCACGGGCGGCGGCGGCGGCGGCAGACGCGCCAGCGGGCGTCCGGTGATCAGGGCGGCCGGCACACGGACCACCAGGCAGCGGCTGCCACCCAGCGCCAACCACCGCCGCCCCCCCCCCCCCCGCCCCCGCCGACGACCCGCAGCGACCGAGACGTCCCGCGAGCGCAGGCCGACCAGAGAGTGCTGGAGAGATTGGCCGGCCAATAAGGACAGGTAAAGAAGTCTAGGATGTAGGTTGGTTGTGTACAAAGGGAAGATTCTGTGACAGAATCTTCGAGACGTTGCCCAACTTGGACAAAAACTTGTCAGTAGACTTATGCCTTAAAAAGAATTTACTTTCATTTTCAGCCTCTCTTTTAACCCTCGCCCGCACATGGGGGGGGGGGGGGGGGTTGCCACCCCGCCAGGTAGTTTTTCTGCTCTGCACTCAACATTTTTAGAGCTAGAAGCCTGATTTTTCGTATAGCTGCTCCTCTATCCTTTTCTTGATGTCCACTGAAAATTTCAAGTTTCTGTTGTTTTTGGTTTCGGAGATATGACCTTGTTTTTCAGGTCATGTCATGACCCAAATGACCAATTCTCAACATCTTGCGTTGGCTATGGGCCTTGTGAGCTTTTGACACCTTGATTTCGGCCTTTTTTGCTAGTCTTACCTCCCACCTATCATGGAACATGTTGTTCGGAGATGTACAGAGGTCAAGGTCAGGGTCTAGGTCAACCTAGGTCATCTAAATAATTGCGTTTTAGGCAAGCTGAATTTACTTTCCGTGAAGTTTTTTGACTGCATTTTTGGTAAAAGCTTCTCAGACCATGATTTCATGTAATATGGACACATAAACACTCCGTGCACACATCAGTAGGGTAAGGTGCCTAATTAGCGACCCCCTTAATTTGAACCGTCATTGCTCACGCTCTGTGGGTGCCACTGTATTACTGGCTTGATTTTCGGAGAAATCGTTCATTTTTCTATTAAAATATAGTCATTTTCTGCCCCAATATTCACTAACTTATTTGTAGTGAGCATTTTGGCAAACCATTGCAAAAAAACGCTAATAGGGAACTCTTCCCGATTAGCGACCGGGGAGGGTCGCTAATAAGTCTATGGGTTTCCCCATATTAAAAATGGCAAAAATGCGACGCCTGAAAAGATGAAATATGATCTCAAAAAGGTAACCTATACGCAAAGCACTCAATCACTCGAACATGCACGTTTATCCAATACATTCACGTAGGTAAAAACTGATCACGTGATGCACCGAAGGCGAAAAGAAGGCGGAAACCCAAATTTTGCGGGCTATCTCGCATGATATTCGAGGTCCGCGCTGAATTCGGCATCCCTGCAGTCGGTGATGACATTTGGCATCCCCTGCCACACATTGCAAGCTTCAGCAACACCTCATTTTCATTTATCTCTTTTCCCCTTTCTTTCCCTTCTTGAGCTATTTGCGACCATGTCAGGCGCAAATAGGAAATATGAGTTGCGACACAATTTTAACCGCCAACAGTTGAGCGATTCACTATGGGAAAACGGCAATCAATTGAAAAAGGAATGTCGATTCAGAATAAAGAAGGTGCATCATCCTAATGTGCATCGCTTTTCATCAGAGAGGGCCCAAACACACACGTTTTGGATAAGAAACTCGTCATTTTTATTTAAACTCACCTGAAACGTCCCACCAGAAACATCGACGACCGGAAAATAATTCAATTTGATAACCAAAGTATGGCTGACCTTTTGACGATGTTTTTACCCCGTTTTCTCCTGCCAGTTTTTCTGTAGGGAGGTAGGTCGCAATTCGGAAAGGGTCGCTAATTAGGCACTAATTAACGACCCTTTCCGAGTATATATAGACCCTTAGCGACTAATTAGCGACCCTTTAGCGAGTATAGGGTATAATTAGCCACTAAATTACCCTATACACACAGACACACACAGACATACAAACACATATCATTGACCTTGACCTAACTTGACCTGAAATGACCTCAGCAGCAAAAATCTGGTCGGGTAGTGTGACAAAGAGGTTCTGGCTGGCTTGGCACCAGAAAACGGCATTGTCACCGCCCATCGGTATATGATAAGCAGCGCGCTTGATATCCAACGACGACCCAAAACAGCAACATTTTTTAGTTTGACCTGACCTGGAAGGTCAATGACTCACCTGAGAAGGTAAAACTGGGTATCATTGGATTCGTCTCTTCCCAAAGAATCTTTTTGGTCTGGTCTTTACCGCGAAGCTCTATCTCCAACAGGAACGAAATGGCGCGTGGGGGGGGGGGGGCAACCACCCCCACATGTGCGTTCTAGGATGGGAAAATGGCATGTGCGGGCGAGGGTTAAGTAGGTAAGTGATGAAAATGATGTAGTGCTGGGAATCTGATTTTTATGTCTTGCCCTGACTTGTGGGACTTAGCCGGCTCCGACGGGACAAAGTCGGACTCAGCCAGTCCCAGCGGGCCACAATGGGACTCGACGGGTCCAAGCGGGACATAGTGGGGCTCAGCCGACTACCGCAGGACATAGTGGGACTCAGCCGGTTCCAGCGGGACAAAGTGGGACTAAGGTGACTACAGCGGGACATTGTGGGACTCATCCGACTGCAGCGGGACAAAGTGAGACTCAGTCGACTAAGCGGGACATAGTGTGCTGAGTCCCACTATGTCCCGCTGGGACCGGCGGAGTCCCATTGTGTCCCGCTGGGACCGGCTGAGTCCGCTTTGTCCCGCTGGAGCCGGCTAATTCCAACTATGTATGTCCCGCTGTAATCGGTTGAGTCCCAATTTGTCCCACTGTAGTCGGCTGAGTCCCACTTTGTTCCACTGGGACCGGCTGAGTCCCACTTTATCCTGCTGGGACCGGCCGAGTCCCATCGTGTCCCGCTCTAGTCGGCTCGGTCCCAATTTGTCCCGCTAAACCCGCTGAGTCCCACTATGTCCCGCAGTAGTCGGCCGAGTCCCACCATGTCCCGCTGGGACCTTACGAGTGACCGAGTCCCATTGTGTCCCGCTGGGACCGGGCGAATCCCATTGTATCCCGCTGGGACCGGCTGAAACCCATAATGTCCCGCTGTAGTCGGCTGAGTCTTCTTTGTCCCGCTGTAAGAAAAAGTAGGTTGTGGTGAACATAAATTAGTAAATTTCAATCTGAGAATCTTATAACGAGAGCATTTCAGGCATGAAGTGTTATTCATTCAAAAGGAGGTTAGATATCTCTGAAATGGTATATGAGAAAGCAGTTACAGAAAATAAGAGATAACATCATAAAGATGAATACCATAAGTTTTCATTATGTCAGACTATTGGCTTATAAACGTTCTTCGAGGGAATAGCAATGAGGATGATTCGTTTTTAATTTAGTGGTCGCAGTTTATAAACAATGCGGCACACACGCCGCATATTACTGCAAATGCCGCAATGCAGCTTAGGGTCTGTTCCCGTCGCTCCTCCAAGCTCCTCCAAGCTCATCTTGATTCCACATCTCACCACCACTACTTGCCTCCTCCCTCATCCCAGGCCCTGTTTCACCGGTGATAGCAGCACGCTGCTATCACACGTGTCAAATTGGGTTTCCATGGAAACATCTACAAACCATGGCGTCGTCAAACTGTGTGATGTCATCAAATATTGCTGCTAACATCTTCACGGCCGTGCGAATGTATCAAACGGATTCAACGAGACAGCAACTCTGTTTCAAACGTAGCTATGAAAAAGCTCACGGATTACACGAAACGTCATTAGTGTGAGGTCATCACATTACGTCAGCTCGCGCAATTTGATAGTAGCGTGCTGCTATCACCGGTGAAACAGGGGCCAGGGCCCCAAACGAAAGTTGGATTTTTGGAGGAGGCTCTGCTTAGACATATTTCGCGCACGTAATACGAATGTGAATTGTTTATAAATGAGATTTGAGGGAAGTGGAAATGATTTTAGTGATCGATGACGATGGGAAATCTTTGAATTGAATAGTAGGTAATGTTTGATATTAATCTATGGTTATTTTGTTAGAAAGCGATTATTATCTCTTGATTTTTTTTTTGCGCGCCATAGATTGCCGACCGTTACAGCCCGCAAACAGCTTATTTCCTCGCAAAAATGTTCCCGTGGCTCCTCTGAAACGGCTCTCCTCTCCGTCATATTACATGAGTCCCGCCCCTTTTGGTGACGTAACAACCCGGATGACCGCAGCGACCGCAGCGTCCATGAACAGGGCCCAGTTTTTTCGGTAATTCAGCTAGCGATTCTCGTGCTGTGTTCAAAGAGACGTGTACAGTGAGGGTCGAACTTCAAAAAACGAACTATAGTAACGGCCACAGACCGACATCCTTTACGTGCATCTGTATTACTGACACACCACATATAGATCGACAGGACGCACAGTCCCGCGTCCGCACTGCTCACAGCCAGCAAGTCTTGCCGCGAGCGAACCGACGCGAGTGACGGTTGCACAGGCGTCCAAAACGCGACGACGCGTGTCAGCCCTTGCCACCAGGTGACAGCTACTCCCAGCTACTATGAAGCCCAGACACCATTCCCCCTTGACAACGAAGGCGCCTACACTTCACATGACGGTAACTCGGGCGACCACCTACCCACTGGTTTCCCCGCGTCACAGCTCCCCTCACGGTCGCGGGACCATCCACGGCGGCAGTCGCGTTGCTATCCTCCGATACCCGGCCGCGGTCAGGTGGATGCCATCCGGCTGGAAGTACTCTGTGGCCACGTCATCCGTTAGGAAGTACCGTGATTCTCCACCATGGTTACGGCGCTTGGTGAGGCATCTCCCCACGTTAGGCGGCACGGGCGGACATCGATAGCAGCGCCTCTATCGGTCACTAGGGAAAGCTGGGCTGTAGGCGACGAAATACCGGCTGAGTTGTCACACGTTGAATAGGTTTATAGACATCAGTCTTGTGAAAAAGTTGAACTTTTGCCTTCAATATTTCTACTGGCAATTTTAGAAGTGTCTCCACATAGATTACAAAACCGTTTAGATTATTGTATTCACTTCAAGCATTCCCTATTGTTCTTGACGATGATGCGGGAACTATTTCTAATTAGTGTTTCTAGCTTAGTAAAAGACATGTTGTGCAAACGATGAAAAAAGCATAAATGGAAAATTTTAAATGCAATTTTCTCTAACAATTAATGGTAAATTATCTACACATCAAGGAAAAGGTGCATGCTAACTGATAATTTAAAGTTCTTGGGGCCAGTTGTTTTCTTCTTTTCTTACGTCGCCCCAATGGCCGCGAATACACTTGTGATAACGCCTATCGACACACGCCACCGACACGTTGCCGTTCCGCTTCCGGGCCCAGCGGACCATTTGCCGTTCCAAGCCGAAGGCAGCCGTGTTTTCCCACCGATCCCTCTCGTAATCATCAGCTAACCTGTCTCGCGAGGGCCGCGGTGTCGGACCGACCAGAGTGACGGGTGCGATAGCGGCCACCTCCGCAACCTGGGCCGTCACCGAAGACCACAGCTCTTTGCTCATCGTTCTGCGCCGTCCATCCGGCGGGTAGACATCGTTACCCCCGAGCCAGAGTGCCACCGCTGCCGGGTACACTTCCTTAGTGTTGGCCCATGTCCGAACCACTTCGATCAACGCTCCGCTGCTTAGGCAGCCGGCCCAGTGTTCGCCAATGTCAGCGGGCGGCACCCATACCGTCACCCGCCAGTTATCTGCATCAGCGGCAAATCTGGCGTGCCGCACCAACGAATCACCGATTATCAGGCCGGCGGGCCGCACCGTATCACCCCACGGTCTCACTGGATGTTCCACCGGAGAGGGGATCGGCGACCCGCCGTTCCCCCCCGGCGATCCATCTCGGTCCTCGGCCCCGGCGGCAGGCGTCTCCCTTAACGGACTCCGCGGTCGTTGTATCGCCCTCCGCTTATGCGGCGGAGACACCGGAGCATCATTGTCCTGATCTTCTGCGGCCATGTGGAAGGAGAACAAAGTGATGTGTCAATATGTGCATGCACACGTGCAAACTGGGTCACAGCTGACTTGAAAGACACCCTACTCGACGGTCCCTAGTTGGTATTAAATTTGAGCGCAATACGTGTAGAGCAGTTTTTGATATCTGGAAGTGTTTCTTGCACGTGCAAGAGCAATACAACCGTGTCACTATGAAGTGCTTGGCCCGGTGCTTATCTACCTATAAAGTACAGCGCAATCAGTCCAGTAATTACCAAGTTATTGCAATTGTTACAAAACTGACACCTCTCCATTTTGCATGTGACACGTGCAGTGGAGGCCAACCACGGGCACATCGCAAATACTATAATCTTTGGTAGGGCTAAAGATACCCTACAACAAGACCGTAAGTTAAAGGGACAGTATCATCGAAAAAAAATTCAAGGAATGGAGCTGATTTTTATCTAAAGCAGCTATTCACAAGTGTGTAAACCAAAAATGAGCCTGATCTGACTTGGAAGCCGGCGGTCAGAGCCCAACATGTGAACAAGAAAAACATCGATAATTTTTACTTTGACCTGACCTGTGACGTCATCGGTGACTTCGAGGTCAATGAAAATTGGTTTCGCTCGACAGTTTTCCGGGGCTATCAGACGCCGTTTGAATTTTGACAATCGGCCCAGTAGTTTCGGAGTTAGGAGGCGGGGGGGCTATGAATAGCCCCCCCCAGTAGGGCGCGTTATACGCAGACCCTAGTGGGGTGCGGGTTAAAGGGACCCTCCCACCTTCAAAAAAGTTAATAAACTGGCATAAAAGTAATGTACCGTGAATCAGAAAGAGGGAAAATGAACATCTACCACATTTCACCGAAAAATATTCACCCGTTTTTGAGATATAAGACTTTTATTTTGGCTTGAATCAGACATACAGGAATTTACAGAGCAGCTGGGTACCAATTCACCAAACTTGTTGTATTTCACATGCATCTGATCTCATTGGATGCCGCATTCAAAAATATTTACTAGATTACATACAGCCTACAGGGTGTCTGAAATGTTCTGAATTTTGAAAATCGGCCAGTAACTTTCCGAGATCTTGGAGGGGAGCCGAAACGCCCCCCCCCCCCCCCTACGGGTGGTAGGGTCCGCCGATAGCCCTACGGGGCGCGGGCTAACGCGGTCCTTCGTTATGCCAATTATCAGATCAATAGCTCGACGTTTTGGAAAACTTATGGTGAAAAAAAACTCAAAATTAACGTCAAATTGTCAAACTCCCATTTTCGGCCGACCTATGGTAGCTACGATTTTTTGTATGGACACAATGTGTTAAATTGATGCAGCCGAAGGTGCTGAAAGTTTCGTGCTGATATGTCCATAGTTCGTCTGAAATGTTCTGGCGCTTTTCAACATTTTTTAAAAACAAATACCTTTTGCTCGTAGATACCCAACAATGGATCAACACAATGACCGGGGGCACCAGGCCCAATACTTTCGCGAACTGCTCATTTAATGTAATCACCATCTGCGCCGACGACGGCCTCGACACGGGGGCGGAGACGCTTGTAGGCGTTGACGGTGTATGACATTTTCAGATCCTCGCGGCTCGCGCTGCAACTGGCGCCTCGTTCAAGCCGCACCCGGTTCCCGCGCGCAGGCCCTCAGCGACAAGGCGCATCTTCGCCCATCTACCCATCACTACAATCGATTTCAAGGTCATCTTTACTAGTGGTGTCAATTTCAGAAAACGTATGTCCAATGTCCGTCCAATGTTCAATACTTACGTCGACTGTCCGTCCAAAAATGTCCAAGCCAGCCATTTGTCCAAAGATGTCCGACATCTACGCAATAGTTTACACTCAACACCGTTATTTAATTTGTTTTTAATGTATCGTTACCAGCTCAAAAGTGTTAATTATATCGAAAGCTGAGCTTTCTAATAGCCAATCAATGTTAAACACGATTACTTTATAAAAATGTTGAGGTGTAGCCTACAATCTATATGTATCAAATTACCAAGAAGCCATTGCAGTACTTATCAGTGGCGAATCCCAGGGGGGAGGTCACATGGGTCATGACTTTGGGCCTGGGGTCACCACATGCCTGCCAGGAGCACCACAGGCCTGACAGCCGACAGGGGCACCACAGGCCCGCCAGGGGTACCACAGGCCTAGCAGGGGCACCACGGGCCTGTCAGTGGCACCACAGGCCTGTCAGGAGCACCATCGGCCTAGCAAAAGCACTACAGGTCTTCCAGGGGCACCACAGACCTGCCAGGGGCACCAGAGGCCTGCCAGGGGTACTATCGGCTTCGCAGGGGAACCACCAGCCTCGCAAGGGCACCATGGGCCTGTCAAGGGCACCACAAGCCTGTCGTTGGCACTTTAGGATTGTCAGGGGCACCACAAACCTGTCAAGGGCACCTGCGTTCTAACAGGGGCGCCACAGGCTCGCCAGGGGCACCACAGACCTGCCAAGGCCCAGGGACACCACAGGCCTAGCAAGGACACCACAGGCCTGTCAGGGGCACCACGGGCCTGTCAGGACCCATGGCACCTAAGTCATGTGCAGGGCCCACCGTGGGCTTGTCAGGGGGCAGGGTAGGTAGGTACCACAATCTTTCCAGGGGCACCAGCGGCCTAGCAGAGGCACCAGTCATCACACGACTAACCAAAAATAAAGAAAATAGAAAACTGAAAATAGGGCACCACCAAAATTAAGTGGCCGAAATCCGTTGAGGTTTTCATTTTGGGTATAGGTAGGGGCACCACTTCGATTCATGACCCTTCCCTTGGAGTTTTCCCGAATCCGCTCCTGGTACTAATACATCAAATTTAAGGGGGGGGGGGGCACCTTGCTATTGGTGCCCCCCTTGCAGAATTCAAGGGGGGGGCACGGTGCCCCGGTGCCCCCCCCGTTCCGCCGCCTATGCCGTAAATGCCATTAGACTGCCAATACCATGAACAATCAAATGGCTATCTTCGATTTTTGATTATCGTTCGGCATTTTCTATATTAATATCTTGAACTGAATCTAGGCAATTTCTCGTGACTACTTGACGACCATGATACATGCATTTCTTAAATTGAACTTGTTCCAAACACGTACACATATGATAAAATGAATGTCACCACCGTGTTCTACGCCCAAAACTACCCATAAAACATGTGCCACAGGCTGCGAATATCAGTTTTGATTTTCGGGGATATGTGCCTACCTGGTTGACCTGACCTTGACCCTGACCTATACTTGACTGACCCCTACAAGGATCTGACACTCTTGTAGGCCTTATATGAAGGATTGTGCACCGTTTTGAGTTTTGACAGAGTTTATGACGAGAGGCGCCCATTGCGAGGTTCTGAAGTCCATGCAACTGGAAGCCCGATTTCAGGTGTTTGACCTGACCTTGACCCGACCTGACTTTAAAGTACACATCTGAAGCGTCTCGTCGCGTTCTTTCGTTTGCCGCCTCGTGCGTTTCGCTGCGCCTATTGGTTCTCGAGTTATCGGCTGGGGGCGTTTAACGCCCCCCCCCCCCCAGCAAACGGCGGGTGGCGAAATACCCCAGCAACTGCCGGGTTAAGTTGGTAGCGATTTGGCAGCTATTCAAGGATGGAAAAGTGGTGCCCAACTGACTTTCAGCGTCGGAGATTTATGTATATCAAGCCTTGGTTGGTGTCAACAGCACCGCACCGGTGTTACTTTAGGAGCTTCTGAATGGTCCCGATTTTCCCGTCTTTTGGGTCTGTGACCTGACCTGGGCGGTGTTTCACGGCACGCTGCCAGCCGCTGCCAGCGCTGTTGGCGCTTTTGGTTTCCATGTAGACATCAACAAGCCTATACCTACAACACTACCGAAGGTTGACCTTAGCTCGCGGAATGCGCTGGCAGCGGCTGGCAGCGCGACCGTGAAACACCGCCCTGGAACGTCAACCAAGACCTTAAAATCCAATGGCCAAGGACCTTAAAATCGGGTATCATCGGCTTCCTCTCGTCACTCACGGGCAACACGCTTATTTTTTCCGCGAGCTCTAGCTTGATCAGGGGCCGAACGGCAGCGGGGTCAATCGACACCTCCCAGCCCGCGAAGGCTGCGCCAAGCACCGACCCGGAGCGGGCTAGCTGGTCGACAAAAGCAATTTGAAGTGTTTTCAAAGTATTTTTAAGGCACGGGTTGGGTGGGCTACCATTTTTATTTTTTTAATTATTTTTAGTTAAAAAATTATCGTTTCAGGGCTGTGACGAAAAATAAGTGGCCTAAATCCGATGAGAAAACAGGATTTGGGGGTACCCTAGGTTTAGTTCCTTGCATGAATTGCCCCCCCCCCCCCCAAAAAAAAACGCAGGTCTGGATCCGCCAGTGGTTAATCCCGTACTGCCAGCACCACTCAACATACTTCAGCACCGGTCATTAGGTACTATAAATAAATCCTAAAAAGTCCCCCGTGTGCGACGTAGTAACTTTGTAGCGCTTAATGCGGCGGCGTTCGTTGACGTACTGCGAGGAAATTTTCAGGGTGTATAGGCCACCTTTACACGTAGGTCGTATTCATTTTGGGCATGATGCGGTGCGTGCTAACGTGCACCTAGGGTTACCATTACAATTGACAAACACACGCTATTGCTCAGAAACGGTAAGGGCTATGGGGGTGAAATTTAACCCTCGCCGGCACAGGGGGAGGGGGTTGATGCAACCCCCCCTAAGGTTTTTCGCGAATAACTCGCGTAAAAAGCGGCCGATCGCGACGAAACTTTCAGTACCCTCGCATTGATCAATTTTACACCTACCCTAAAAATGTCATGACCCTGACCCAAATGACCTTTGACCTGTGACCTACTTTCCGAGACCATGTTTGGCCGGAATCGCGATTCGGCGTATGTCGGCTCGCATTAGCCGCGTGTTTGCAAGCTTTTCGTGGTTTCAAACGTCCGAACATGTGATTTGATGTTGCTCCCATGCATTAGGGTGGATGTCAAGGTCACCTGAAGGTCAGGTCAGGTCATTGACCTTTGGTGACCTCGGTTCACTTTTTCGAGTTTTAC